GAACACCCCCGAACACCCCCGTCCCCCTCCAAATCACCGCCCAATCCAATCCAACCAATTCACAACCATCATCCCCTTCACCAAATTCCCCCTCATATCAAGATGTACCCCATCATACTTACGTGCTTGAATACTCATATTCCACGTCCCAAGGTGTTCCACACCCCTCTTCCTCGCCTCGATTCCCGTCGCTTCCTCAAACAAGACCAGCGCCTTGTTGCCCTGAGAAACAATCCATTCATCGGGTTTCTCACGTCCTGCCGCGCTGGGGGTGAGGAAGAGGCAGTTAGAAGATGATGATGGCTCGGCACGGATGACGGACAGCACGGCGTCGAGCCAGGAGACGGTTTTTTGCAGCTCTAGGTTGTTCCAGAGGCCGTGGCCGAGGATGAAGGCTTTGGGTTTGGGGGTTCGGGAGGTGGTGCCGACGCTGAGTTTAAGGCGGGCGAGTTCTTCGGGGGGGATGGGGAAGGTGTTGATTTGTTCCACTGGTGGGAGTTAGTTTAAAAAGACTGCGGGAGTGGAGGGAGATGTAATCTTACTGATTAGATTGATTTTGTTGGAACATGATAAGCTAAGAGGATCATTCTTCAAGACATCGTCCGTCGAATAAATTCCCTGGACCGAGCAGGCTTTGACATCAAACTGCTCATTACAGAAACACTGTTTCCTATCACACCCCCAGTAATTAGTAAAACCACCCCCATTATATCAATCTTATCAGGAAAAGGAATAAAAGGAGAACAAAAAACCTACCTCTCCATCGCCGAAAAATTCCAATCCGTCACAGCCCCATACCCCAAATCCTTCCGCAACAAAACATTCAAACTCCCAACAACATGTCTCAACATCGAATCCCCCACTAGCACAACCCTCTCAAAGCGCCCCAGAATCTCACACACCTCCTCGGTAGTAAACCACCTCATATCACAATCCCTCGGCATATACGGGGCTCCATTTCCGATTCGTCCCCCGGACGCCATGGCAGTTAGCATTGATTGTCTATCTGCGCACAGCGGGCTGAAGGGGGTGTGGAGATCGAGAGACGAGATGTTACATGTCTCTCGATGTTTGTAGGTGGTGAAGGTATCGCTGCGATCAGGGAGGCGGTAGGGTGTTAGTTCGGGGGAGGGGAAGGCGAGGAAGGGCAGTTCTGTTAGGTTTGGAAGCGAGGAGGTGGGATGCTAGCTGCAAATTAGTCATACTTTGGACTTTATAAAGGATCTTTACTAACCTGACGCATAACACTCCGATAAAAGTTTGGTATGTGGTCTCTGATAAGTACAACTGTAGCAACGGCGACTAAAAAGATGATCATACGCATTGGGGAGAGGCGACAGCTTGAGAAGCGGGACGAGGGAGAGGGCCGCGCTACTCTGCTTGCCCATCTGAAGGCACTGTCCTTGGGAGGGTATGGAGGGGATGTGAAGGGATCGTCGTAGAGACGAGGACGTTGCCAGGTTTGGGACATGTTTGGTAGATAGCTGACGCGCCGAAGTAGAATTTTGTAAAGCTGGTCTTGAAAGCAGTTGTATGAAAATGCAGGCAGCTTGCCAATGTTGAGCGAAAAGCAGATAGAAGGGCATTGCTAAGCATCATCTTGATGTGAAGAAATATAGGAAGGAGCGAGGAGGTGAATGGAGCATCGACAGCGATGCACAATAAACATAGTAAGGAAGGAGCGATGTAAAAGGTATAGAAAGCTAAGAATCCCTACCTAAGAAAAAGGAATTCGCGACAGGTAGGTTTAAATAGCAGCCACTAGACATTACTGAACTCTTATAGGAGTTTAAGTACCCGTCCATCGCATGCTCCAATGGTTAAAGGTCGTATTGAAGGTTTAGAATAATTGACTTTTGAGAAGATCTATAGAGTATAGCTATAAACAGATATCGGGCGTTCCCAAATGTTTGGATGATCCAAGTCACTATTCGAGAATGCACTTACAGATTTCTGGGTATATCGAAATCCAACTTCCAAATGGTGGAGGTGCTAAGAGGAAGCAAAGATTGCTCATCACTGCCACAAACCTCGAAAGGGATTCAACAATACCCTGAATATATCTTTCACCAAGCCAACCCACCCTCGAGTTCTCTCAATCTGAGTCAATAACCCAACGAATCTCCTGGTGAATGTTTCTATAAAAACAGATTAGTCGTGATGAGCCTATGAGATAAACATCGACTGACCTGTGGCAGAAAAGTCCAGTGCATCAATATCCCAAACAGAAGTTTCTCTTGACCCAGGTACATTGGCTTCACACAAATGTCCATTTTTATCTACCGTAGCTCTGGGACCAATTGCCAAAGCTCTACCAACCAACCTCGTATCGGCCATTAATCTTGTCGCAGCCTCAACTACATCTTCCGGTGTACCCATCGCCCCGCCTGCCAGAAGAAGTTTTGCAGAAACTGGTAGGATGGGGGTATCCGTGAAATATGGAAGAATAATATTAACCCGTAATCCATTGAGAAAAGACGTGGTATTCAAAGATCTGAACAATCCCAACACAGCATGTTTCGAGGCATTGTATTGCACTAAGCCCGGAAGAGAGCCCAGCGAAGCAATGGATCCCACCAACAACAGATGACGGTCTCTTGTGTTTGGCGCTGGAGTCACCAAAGTGCTAGCCTTGCTAGATTCGGGATTTTTGGAAAGATAATATATAGCAAGTTTCGCCGTGTACATGACACCAGTAAGATTGACGTCTAGGCATTTGAAAACAGGTGCAGGAGGGTTCTCCAAAGCCTCATAGTCATGCACATTCTTGTCGAAAATTTTATTCCCGTCCGTGATGCCAGCATTTGCAACGACGGCGTCGATACCGCCAGTTGGACTGAGCTGCTTGGCGGTCTTGAAGAAATGGACCTGAGAGAGCCAATTGGTCACATCACAGTGAATATAGTGAAGATGTTGGTTTCCCGTTGTCTTTCGAACCTCAGCCACCAATTCCTCACCCAGCTTGTCATTGATGTCCCCGATGACTATGTTTGCGCCATTTTCCGCCCACTTTCTGAACAAGCCGGCCCCGATTCCGGAAGCGCCTCCGGTGATGAGGATGGTTCGACCTTGAACCCAGGCAACATCGTAAGGGTCGTTGGTAGCCACCGGTCGGGAGATGAGGGATTCGTGAGACATCGGAGCTTTAGTTGAAGCTGGAGCTGGAGCTGAAGTCGGACGCTTCAATGGGAGGATGGAGTTGATGCTGCTGCTGCTGCTGCTGCCGCCTTTCCGAGAGAGCTCGTCAGGTCCGCCACATGGAAAGTATCGCAAGACCTGCCCAGTCGCAGGGGCAGGCAGCATGGATAGACCTCATCCTGAACTCAGCTGCAATCCGAAACTGAGTACAGTATCGCTGTCGCTGTCGTTGTCGCTATCCACACTGACAAAGTGTTGGTAGAGGATGGAGTATATGAGTAGATAGTTGGCATGGTGTTTGGCGAAGAGAGGATGGAGGTACGAAGTGCTGTGATACCTAGAGTAGCCTTGCAGGTGTCACTCGTACATACCTACGTACCCGCACCTACAAGTCCCGAGTTAACCGTACAGTACCCCCATGGCTCACCTGCATGGCTCATGCATCCATACCCCCATACCCCCTCCCTTTAGGTGGCTCTTGCTACTCTTACATGCACTAACCACCGCCTTCAGTCGATGCCGCCTCTGCCTCTCACGTCAGCTCATAGACAGTAGTACACATCGTACTCATCGTCCATACTCACATAACCCTCCGTACTCACCGTACTCATGATCCCCATCGTACTCTGAACGACGGCTTTTCTTTTTCGACTTCAAATCAATCATCATCCACCACGTCGTCACCGGCATTGCGGCATCTCTCCATCAAAATCCACTACTGCCACTTTGGGTTACGAAGGAGTTGCTCCTGCAGGTGTAACCATCAGCTTGCGTGCACCTCAATATATGGCGATCCCATGATTCGACTGACCGGATTCTTTGGATTCAATCCTTACCACTATGCTAAGTACCCGTACATACTGCACTATGCTGCAATGGGACGACCAACGGCTCGGAGTATTCATAGACAACGTGGCATCCATACACCCTTCAACAAAGATCCAGTCCCAACTCGGCTCGACCACGGTCTTGGGATGGTGGCATATACGCATCCCTCTCAATATTCCATTATTTGATGACGTGTGGCGCCAGGAACCATTCTGCTTTGGGATATGCTGCTCTAGACAGTACTAATATTCTTCAGAAATCCTATTGATTATCAGTCATCAATTAGGGCACGGCTCGGTTGCCATCCGCAGCAGGAAGCCCTACCTTGCGGATCCAGCCCGGTCATCCATTCATCCCATCCCTCTGTCTCGTTGAAAATTGACTATTGGAGTCGGCAGATCCTCCTACATATCCCACTTTGCAACTCTTCTATCAAATACTTTCTTTTTCCCCTGCTTCCATGCTTACCAAACCCCTCTTGCTGCTGTTGCCTGGCTGCAATAAAGAGCCAGTCGCTCTGCTGACCAACAGAAAGTTTGCAAGTATTTGCTTGTTGCGGCAACGTTTGCGGTGTCATCAATGTTGTTATGATATATCTGCATAACCCTGTTGCATTGTTGTCTACCCAATATCTCAAGTCAATTCATGGCAGCAAGTGGCTGAATCTCTTGACTACGATCACGAGATACGCGTACCTGACTATGTCGGAGAGATATTGGACTCAACTTGCTCAACGAGTGGTGCCTCATCTTGTATTTCAAGGCTTGTGCCTCTCGGAGATATGGCTTTCAGCTGCTATTTGTAGATCCCGGGTTTTCTTAAGCACCTCTTTTGACGATGACTCTTGGTATCGAATTGGCGCTACTCGTCTATCCAAAGGCGCAATCCTTTGCCTTGACTGTATCAAGTTTACTGCTGAGAGTAAATACTGCAACACTGAAACTATATTCCTTCATGAACTCTTTAAAGCATTACGTTTTAATAATTGTCTACAGCTGACTCCAGACTTATGCTCAATCAGTCTGAAAATTCCGCTCCGTTGCACAATAACGATAGCTGAGGAATCATCGATTCCTCACTGCCTCCTTCACTCACTACCTTTCCTTGTACCTGAAAATACCAAGTAAACAAAACACATGCACGCCACCGGAAAAGAAATGACCATTCACAACCTTTCCATTTTCAGACTCCGAGAAATTCATCATTGGACAGCTGAGGGTAGTAATGTTGAAACGCACTTCCACACCGAGAGACGCCTTCAACCCAAACCGTCATGCGGTCATACACCACGCATCTCCATCGATTATCGAATACGAGGGTAACCTGATGGCATAGCCGTATCGTCCCTGTACAGAATAGAATATTCCTTCTCCTCTACATGGTCTCTTTCGAGTTACCCTACCTATCACACGCATATTCCACGCATATCCAAGTATAAAAGTACCGACAATCCCTTCCTCGTTAGTCTTTCTCCTACTCCAACCCCCACACTCACTTTCTTTCCATTTCATATATACCATTTCCAAAGTCACTTCACGTGTCCATCAACCATCCAACATGCATATCACCCCACTCGCCCTCCTCACCCTCGCTTCGGCAGCCCTTGCCGCCCCACGCGTCGAGACCAGACAAACCACCACCCCACCACCCCACCAAGTGACCGTCTCTGGAATCACCACTTCAGGATCGGGATGTCCTCAGGGGAGTGTAGGGCAGTTTTTGAGTGCGGATAGGACTGTGTAAATACCCCCTTCCCTTCTTCCTCTCCCCCTTACCCCCTTTCCCCTTTCTTAAAACACAAAACACAATCTAACAATAATAAAAATAGCTTCACCCTCATCTTCGACTCCTACATCGCCCAAATCGGACCCGGCATCGCCGCCGCTGAATCCAGAAAGTTCTGCCAGATCAATTTGAACCTGCATTATCCCCAGGGCTTCCAGTATTCCATCATGAAAACCCTGTATCGCGGGTTTGCGAACCTGGATAAGGGGGTCACGGGGTCGCAGGAGGCGACTTATTATTTTAGTGGTCGTATGTCATTCCCCTCATCCCCCTCTCTCTTACCCCAATCCATCTCCCATCTCCCTTCCCTTATCCCCCCCAAAGAAAACCCTCCCAAAAACAAAACCTAACACTCCACAGAACCAACACAAGTCTCCACCAAGTCCACCTTCACCGGCCCCCTCCTCCAAGACTACAAAGTGGAAGACGACCTCACGCTCACCTCGACCATCTGGTCCCCCTGCGGCGCGGACCTGCCTATTAATATCAAGACGAGTGTTAATCTCGTGGCGAGTGTGAAGGGGGCCCAGGGTGTCCTGACGGATGATAGTGTGGATGGGAATGTGACGATGGTTACGGGGGTGAGGTGGAGGAGTTGTTAGGGGGTTTTTTTGTGGGGTTTTTTTGTGGGGGGATGGGGGATGGTGTGTTTGGTTTGTTCTTTTGTGGGGGGAGGGAGGGTGAGGGTCTTTCGGGGGGAGTGAGGGGAAGAATGGGGGGATAGGATTCGTTGGGTTTCCTTCTTTGTCGTATGCTATTGTAGGTGGGTGGTTGGTTATTCTGCGCGTGCATTTTTGGCATTTATTTATCTATCTATTTATCTATCTATCTAGGAAGAATATCTTCTCTTCCCTTCCTATTCATTCTTTCTTTTTAAACATGACAAATATTTTTCCAAAAATTGATATCATCCACTCCACTCATCTAATTTCCAATCTTCCAATCTCTTCTAATCCCATCATCGCACCTCATCTAATTTCCAATCTTTCAATCTCTTCTAATCCCATCATCGCACCTCATCTCATCTCCATCAAACCTACATTTACAATCCTCATCGTAATAAAATCACAATCACAAATACAAGCCACCCCCAATCTTCCTCCCTTCTTTTTGTATTTAATGGGATAAAGAGATTTCTGGTACCTTATCTACTTTTCTCTTTTGGATGAGATAGGCTTCAATTCGTACTAGATCTTGGAAATAGGGAGGCAGGAATGGAAAGTACGCTTTGGTTTCATTTTAGGGGAATGGTTTAAGAGGTAGAAGGTTTAGAAATGTATTAGAAACTAGCTTACCTTATAATTAACCATAAATACTCTTTATACTAGATTACTCCGTATACTGTAGAGTAGTTAGAGGGGGGAGGTGTAACGAATACTCAAACTGGCTAACTAAACTTGGCTGGGTGTTCGCTGGTTGGTATGCTATGATAAGAAGAAGACTATCGGGTTGTTCACTTGGAAGTGAACTCGTTACTTGTATCAAAGATGTCAAACTAATATGATAAGATTGATAACTAAGTTGAGCACGAAGCTCCTATCTAATGGCAGACGTGCCAGTATTATATAGAACCCTCGTTCCCATGGTCGCCATGGTCGAACAGTCGCCCATGGCCGACACGGTCGACCCGTCGGCCATGTCGCTGGTCACGTGATTCCAACCTAAGGAAATCCCTGGATCGCTTAGCTAGCCCAAACGATCCCTTATTTGCTATAAGTCTATAGATGTGCTTGACCTGTCAGGACGCCGCCTGATCTTCACTTATCACGTGTGCACGTGATTCGTGACAGGAGGGGGGGCTTTATATAATATTTTTCTATAAGATAAATCCCGTTCTCTAGGAACTCTGTATTAGGTATTATCTAATACCGTTAGGACTTGTGACGACACGTACGCAAGGCCCACGGTGTAGGTTGTGGAATCGTAGAACTGTCAATTAAACAAAGATTCTAAGCTGAGGAGAAGAGGAGAGCTCGAGAGAGCTTCGATCTAAATACTTGGTGTGGGTCGCTAAGCGAGACCACGTGATCCGAATGGTGGTGACGGTTAGAACCGTCACAGGACTTAGGAAATTCCTAATATTATTCTAATTAGGTATTAAAAAGTAGGGAATCTAGGGATGTAACTAGGATAGAGGGTTAATAGTCTCTCCGATTAACTTTTAAGAGGGTTTTAGTATAATTTAAGTTCTTTATTAGGTATTTATTTATATTATAGAGCCTTTTTATAATGGCTATATAGATGTTATAGATTATGTTAGTATCTTCTATATATAGACTACCTTTACTTTTAATACTTGTTTATTTATATATTTATATAACGTGGTTTATCAGCGAGTCGATCATATCACCGAGTCGATCACTTTTTCTTGGCACAGAACTTTACACCTAAATAAATCAACCACAATATATTAAAATAATTATCGCTCTCTATATCTGACGAACTAGATATATCTATAACTTCTTGACAAGTTCGCGCGTTATGACCAGCTTTTCCACAAGTTCTACAGCGCCGTGTCACGAATCACGTGCTAAAGGGCATGCCCCGCGTCATGTGATGAGTTAGTCCAGACGGCGTTCCGACAGGACAGGCACATCAGGATAGTTATAACAAATAGGGATGCTTAGAGTAGCTAAGCGATCCAAGGATTTCACATGTGGAGGGTCACGTGATATATGCAGGGCGACAAAGTCGTTGTCGACTTTGTGACTTAAGGAGAACGAAGGATCTATATAAGACTGGCACGTCTGCCATTAGATAGGAGCTTCGTGCTCAACTTAGTTATCAATCTTATCATATTAGTTTGACATCTTTGATACAAGTAACGAGTTCACTTCCAAGTGAACAACCCGATAGTCTTCTTCTTATCATAGCATACCAACCAGCGAACACCAAGCCAAGTTTAGTTAGCCAGTTTGAGTATTCGTTACATTCACCTCGCTTATAAACTACTTATAAGTACTTAGCTATCTTTACCTATCCCTCTCCCTCCTTATAAGCACTTTCCTACATTACTATTCTATAAGTCTCTACTTCTATTATACCCCTATTACCCCCCTCCCCCCTCTCTCCCCCTCCCCTACCTACAAATAAGTAAACGTGTAAATAAGTAAATAGAGAACGGTATCTTTAGTAGGAATTAAGGTTTCGCGCCCACTGTTAGTATTAGGAAAAGTGTGTGTTAGAGAAGGTTTTATACCCCGGGCCGTCTCGCGCAGGAGTATTAGGTATTTCCTAACACGGTTCCTAGAGGGTAAAATACGGGTTTCCTATTAGCCTACTAGAGTAAAGGGACTTTTCCCTAGTCATATAATAAATTCCATCTAGAAATTCCATATATTCTATAGAATATCTACCTACCTCCAGAATGGAAAGATTCTAGTGAAATCTTGAAAAAAGGAATGGAATTATTGCAGAGGGAAGGTATAGAATAGAAAGGAATTCTAGTTACCGAGCGTTCCAAGCTATACGAGTATTCTAAAAATTTAGGAATTAAACCGCTTTTTTACTATCGGATACGCTACCAGGTTCATGTACTATTACTTAGGGCTCTATTACCCTAATGTTATAGCGTGTATGTTCTAAAAGAAACTTCTTACTTATAATACTAGCTAGTGGAGTACAAGAGCTATTTTTACTCTATAGTCCCGTGGATACTCTGTAACGAATACTCAAACTGGCTAACTAAACTTGGCTGGGTGTTCGCTGGTTGGTATGCTATGATAAGAAGAAGACTATCGGGTTGTTCACTTGGAAGTGAACTCGTTACTTGTATCAAAGATGTCAAACTAATATGATAAGATTGATAACTAAGTTGAGCACGAAGCTCCTATCTAATGGCAGACATGCCAGTGTTATATAGAACCTTCTTGCTCATGGATCTGGTTGGATCCTAGGATCCCCAAGATCCATCCAGATCCAAAGATCCGTCACGTGACTATAATGAAATCCTTGGATCGCTTAGCTAGTCTAGCCGATCCCTATTCGCTATAAGAGCATGATAGTGCTTAACCTGTCAGGACGCCGCCTGGTCTTCACTCGTCACATGCTAACACGTGATTCGTGACATACTCCTAGTAGGAGCAGAAAAGTCGATACCTTATCTACTCCTAGTCAATACCTTATCTACACCCGGTCGATACTATATCGACAACTAAGAATTAATTCGCTTCGCTTACCCTAGTAGGAGCGGGTGTAGATAAGGTATCTACACCCGGGAGTCGATACTTTATATACAACCGATTATTTAGAGGAAGTTTTTTTAAAAAAAATAAAAATTATAAAAGGTTCTATTAGCTTCTAATAGTCGTCTATTTATCCCTATAGCGTTCTCTACAAGACTTTTATTATTAGGTACAAGACGAGTTTTCTCGATTTCGCTAAGTACTTTTGTCGGTCCGGTAGCTAGGAATAGACTTTTATTGTAGTTTTAAGTACGTAGATCCTACTACGCACGTACTTCCGAGTACTACCGAGTACTGCCTACATATTACTGCCCTTCCCCCGCCCTCTCTTTGCCTACCTGTCGTTCCTACTATCCCTACCTAAAAGTGTACTTAAGTCGTTTTTTTAACTCCCTCCCGTCCCTACCTATAAGTGTACTTAGTCGTTTTTTTGTCCCTACCTATAACCTCTGTATATACTTAATTTAAGTAAGTGATTCGAGCCGTAAAAGTGTAGAAACAAGTATAAAAATAAGTATAAAAATAAGTATAAAAATAAGTATAAAAATAAGTATAAAAATAAGTATAAAAATAAGTATAAAAATAAGTACAGAAATAGGTGTAAAACTACGTAGAAAAAAGTTATAATTTATCGACAACTTTAGACATTTTGGTAACTATTTATCGACAACCGTTTATAGATAAGGTATCGACAATTGTCGATAGGGTGTCTACAACCGAGCATATACAAAAATGTAGATAAGGTATCGACAACCGGTTGTCGATACCTTATCTACGCCCGCTCCCACTGGGACTCCTTGTGGGCCTTCCAAGGACTCCAAGAACATACTCCGGTCTAGGCGTAACAAATGTTAAACATTAGTGGGGTTTACACCCTATAATCCACTAGTCTTTAACTTTTGTTACGCCTGGGAGGCTGGGACGAAGTAGGTATACCGTGGTAAATCGTCATCGTCCTTAAGAAAAATCGGTGGATGTGGTAGGGGGGGAGGGGG